GTTTTTTCACTAACATTTACTAAAGCTTAACGTTGTATAAGGTATTCAAGTGCAGAAAATTCATTACGTAACGTTACTCTTTGCCATAAAATTTCATAATGTGCAACGTAACGTTTCAAACGTTAATACTTTTGATGAACACTATCGTAACGAAAGCTAAAATTTAGAAAAATCAAAACGTTGACATCTCTAGGTTGAGACTACGGTTAAACCGTAAAATGACAGAGTCTCCTTTTGGGAATTTTCCTGAACTGTCTTAAGACATGCATAACGCCGCAGTTCAACTGCAGAAATAAAAACTTTTTGGAAGTGATATTATCTATTCTTTATATAAGTCATTATTTATACATCTCCCTATTCATAAATAAACTCGTAAATTTGTTTAAATTTCCTTTTTCTTAAAAAACGCAAATTGAGGCTGGCTACAGGCGATAAGCCGTTTTATTAGCTATTTATTTAGTAAAACTAAAACCGGTTTGCCTTCATAGTGCATACATATATCTTTATACTGCAGAAATTGCTCTAGTTACTCAAAGGTCGGCCAGGTAATTCAGATGAAAAGTTGGTTACAGTTATATTCATACTCTCTGAATTAACATCTTTCTGTAATTTTTTTTACTCTCTGTCCCTGTATTTCATTACCTCTATGAAAGTTTAGATTAGGATTACTGCTTGTTGTGATCAAACTGAATCTCCGTTTCAAAACTTCTTTTAATAACATTTTAGTCTATAAAAATATGTCGTTTTATAAGGAAACTTATTTTATCCTATATCTGTTGCTAACACAGACACTTTTCTAAAGATCTATATATTAGAAGCAACCAAATAATTCCGAATGAATTGGTCAGGTCTTGTTCCTTTAACTAAAGTGTATGCATAGTAGTGGTTCATAAAAAATATTGGATTGTAAATGTAAAAAAGTATAAGGACTGTTGTTCCCTAATTTTCATTGATGATGTGACTTCACAGATGATTATTCTGCTTTCATGAAGTCTTTTCCCTGACATTCAAGGTAACTGTAATTGTAAACTCAATACGCCAGTATAAGGAAATTGTCATTTTTCAAATGAAAACTACCAAATTTAACATTTATTCTCTCCAAGGCGTTTTTGGTCGTCTGCAACATCGAACCTACCACAACCGTAGGTCGGATGTATATTCTATTTTGTTAATCCGACCTACGCAGGAACTGCAGATCTTGTTAGTAAGTAGTTGACAGTGCAACCATAAGGAGCTCGCTGTCAAGTTCCCGTTGCACACAAATTTGTTGGTCAGATGCACACACTTTTTGTAGGTCGGAAACACAGTTTTTGTAGGTCGAATGCACACTTTTATTAGGTCGGATGCACAAGCTTTGTAGGTCGAATGAAAAACTTTTGTAGGTCGCATGAACACTTTTTGTAGGTCCGATGCACAAATTTCATAACTCGGATGAACACATTTTTTAGGTTGTTTGCACACTTTTTGTAGATCGGATTTTAGGTTAGGTTAAGTCTGGGCCCAGCGCTGTAGCTAGGACAGGTTAGGGGGCCGAGCACTGCGACTAGGACAGGCTAGGGGGTCGAGCGTAGCGGATACATTTATCAAATTTACAAAGGGATAGCCGATCTGAGGGGTTAGGTTACGTTAAGACAATTTATGGGCCGAGCGCTGCTTTTTATGACAGGCTAGGGAACCGAGCGCTGCGACTAGGACAGTGTTAGTCTATCTGTTGGGATAGGTCAGGTTAGTCTATCTGTTGGGTCAGGTCGAGACAATTTCTGGGCCGAGCACTGCGGCTACTTAATAACAGTGAATCAGACCTTCGAAATGTTTTCATCTTTCCCTACATATGAGTACATCTGACCTTTAAAATGTGCACATCCGACCTACAAAAGTTGTGCATCCGACCTACTAATTGTGTCGAACCTAGCAATATGAAATATGAATCCCGATTTAACCAGAGAGCACCCCTTGCTTTACCTTGCTGAGTATCAGAATTAATATATATGTTCTGCGTAATAATGAACACAATGATAATTAGGCAACAAATCCAATTTAATAAATAAAACTGAAATAGAATAAAAAACATTTTGCTATTTCAATCTTGTCGGATTGGATAAAACTAATCCCAATCCTCAGTTTTATATTCGGTTGAATTCTCTGAAGAATTTGATTTGAAATAAATTCCACAAAATTAAATTTTCTGTGAATTCTATAGTTTTAAGCCACGCCAGGGTGAACCGCATCACATAGAAAAGTATTTAAAATTAGAGAGATTGTAATGTCAAGTTGTTAAAAAAAATTAGTGGCATGCCCGATTCAGAAATCCTTATCCTATCAACAATAGGTAAGTACAGGGTGTCCCACGAAACATGACAGTTGGTAAATAGTTAGAAAAGTCGTCTTCCATATACTTTATTAGATATTAAAGGCGTTTTGCTGTTTATTTCGTTAAAAAATCTTTTTCTGAAATATTTTACTTTGAAACCAATTTTACTATAACATGACTCTCATATAACATTTGTATTATTGTCTTTGGTATCAAACAACCTACCAAATCGTGGAAGAGGACATTCTAAACTATTTACCAACTGTCATGTTTCGTGGGACACCCTGTATCGTAGTTTTTATCTTCTTAAAAAGTGTTGAACTCTGTATAGTAAGTTCTTTGTCCATCTTTGCTGCACAAAATGTGTTTTTTCAACATTAAGTCACTTTTTCAGAGAAACCCCAATAAGAGACTCCCAATTCTTTTGAATGAGGATATTTTCATCAGTTTACTAAGACAAAGGATGAAATGGTACCGTTGTGCATTGGGCATGACTCCTCCTTTTATATAATGGTGCTCTTGTGAATCGGGCGATCAATAAAATGGGAGCGCCACGTCTACAATAGCAGCTAAATCACAGCTAGAAATGCTTTAACCATAGATTAATTAAAAAAACAGATAGGATACTAGGACACTAGATGTCGTCTTTTCAATTGATTTGAATGTAACTGTTCGCAATAACCCTGAGGCAGAAGCCCAGAGAAGTCTCGCGCAGTCGGCGTATAATTACAAGACGGAGATAGCCTTTTCTGCGCACACTTGAAAAAACGACATCCAGTGTCCAATCAGTTATTTCAATAAATTTATGGTCTAAACGAAGCAAAAGCTAGTCGTCTCAAAAGCCGCGTAAGAACATGAAAACTGTAAACAGAGATTAAAATGAAAAAAGGAACAAACTATGACAAAATGAAAATGACAGAGGAATGAACAAGTAGTTTTTCTGTATCTTGGTATTCGCTAGAACTAAACTATCTTGGTATACGCTAGAATCAAACTGTATCTGTATCTTGATATACGCTATAACTAAACTGTATCTATGTCTGTATCTAGGTAGTAGGTAAAGGCTAGATCTAAACTGTCTGTTTCTTGGTTTGCGGTAGAACTTAAACCTGTATGAATGATGATATATCTGGGTATGCTAGAACTAAACCGTCTGTATCTGGGTATAAGTTAGAACTGAGCTATCTGTATCTGGGTATGTTAAAACTGAGATATCTGTATCTGGATTTAAGCTAGAACTTCACTGTATCTGATATATGCTAGAACTGATCTGTATATCTATTTGAGTTTACGCTAAACTTGACTATATCTGTTTCAGCGAATAAGCTAGAACTGAACTGTATCTTGAGTATAGGAAAGAACTGATCTGTATCTGTCGATAGGAAAGAAATCAACTGAATATGTGTCTAGGTTGCAGCTAGAACTAAACTATCTGTATCAGTATATAAGCTAGAACTAAACTATCTGTATCAATGTATAAGCTAGAACTAAACTATCTGTATCAGTGTATAAGCTATAACTAAACTATCTGTATCAATGTATAAGCTAGAACTAAACTATCTGTATCAGTGTATAAGCTAGAACTAAACTATCTTTATCAGTGTATAAGCTAGAACTAAACTGAAGTTGGAGGTTAGATTCTATATTTCCATCCTCTCCCACGAAACAGAGCTAACTATAGTGAAGATATAACACTGGATAGGATACAGAGCTAATATTTAGCAAAGGATATAGAGATAATATTTAGCAAAGGATACAGAGCTAATATTTAGCAAAGGATACAGAGATAATATTTAGCAAAGGATACAGAGCTAATATTTAGCAAAGGATACAGATATAATATTTAGCATAGGATACAGAGCTAATATTTAGCAAAGGATACAGAGCTAATATTTAGCAAAGGATGCAGAGATAATATTTAGCATAGGATACAGAGCTAATATTTAGCACAGACTACAGAGGAAATATTTAGCAAAGGATACAGAGCTAATATTTAGCAAAGGATACAGAGATAATATTTAGCATAGGATACAGAGCTAATATTTAGCAAAGGATACAAAGATAATATTTAGCAAAGGATACAGAGCTAATATTTAGTAAAGGATACAGATATAATAATTAGCATAGGATACAGAGTTAATATTTAGCAAAGGATACAGAGATAATATTTAGCATAGGATACAGAGCTAATATTTAGCACAGGAGACAGAGCTTATATTTAGCACAGGATACAGAGCTAATATTTAGCACAGGATACAGAGCTTATATTTAGCACAGGATACAGAGCTTATATTTAGCACAGGATACAGAGCTGATATTTAGTACAGTATACATTGCTGGTATTTAGCACAGGATACTGAGCTAATATATATCGCAGGATACAGTGCTGATATATATAGCACAGGATACAGAGCTAATATTTAGCACAGGATACAGAGCTAATTTACATCACAGGATACAGAGCTGATATAAATATAGCACAGGATACAGAGCTGATATATAGCACAGGATACAGAGCTGATATAAATATAGCACAGGATACAAAGCTGATATATAGCACAGGATACAGAGCTGATATAAATATAGCACAGGATACAGAGCTAATATTTAGCACAGGATACAGATCTAATATATATCACAGGATACAGAGCTGATATAAATATAGCACAGGATAAACAGGAAACAGAGATAATACATCATAGAATTTATTCAGTTAAATAACATAAGGTTAAGCGAAATGTCGATTGTGTTTTAATAAAAAAAATTGTTACTTATACTTTTTTAAATACTTGATCTAGAGAGTTTTATCTTCAAGACATGTTAATAACTAACTCAATTAGCATAGTGTCAAATTATGTCAAAAAAAAAGCATCTTATAAAACCAAAATAAAAATAAACAAAAAATAACGAATTTTCGTTGTAGTTCTAGTCGTCCTCCAGTGATATCTCCTCCATTGAGTTTTGAATCGCCATAGCTATCCTGGAAAAAATGTCATTTACTACTCGTGGTTTAAAGAGACTTTAGAAGTCATTCAAAGGGATTTTTTTGGAATAGCATGTTTGATTCACAAGAGCTGAATATTAAGTACTTTTATAAACTAGGCGACTTCTTTTGCTCGGAGTGTACAGTGATATTCAGAACTGTACTAAACTCAGGATTCCTTGCTTGTTAATTTCAGCTAGAAAATTGATATAAATGATACAAATGGTACCGTCGTGTATCGGACATGCCACTCTTATGATGGATCACTTGAAATTTAAGTATCTTAAGTTAATCAGAGTTGGAAAATTCTGAATGGGGTTACATTTAAATTCGGAATCATTTAAGAACAAAAATACTCTTAGTGCTATTTTAACCTTCAAAGTTATTTTTCTGTGCTATGCTACACTTGAGAAATGTGTACTGAATTTGGGGTGTAAAAAGATGTAAATATCAGTAATCAATATAAGAGATAAATTATGATGTACAGAAAAATTTTATAAATCCAAACGAAGGTCTTCATATATCCGGTAATTTTAAAAGCACAAAAAAGGCAGACCACTCAACAACGAGGGTTATTTTGTGATAATTTAAGAATATAAATTTACAAGGAGAATGAATGTTGCTGCTAATTTTTTTTAAAGGTCAAATGCGATCTTAAAACTGCTAAACTAACCTAGTCTCTTCGTCTAAACATTGGTCGACAGCTGAAGGTAGAATGGTATCAAGTATATAAGGTATAATCACGTCAGTAGCAAGCCCTGCATACCTCCTAGGTACTACCTATACAGTATACATACATAGGATAGAATGGTATCAAGTATATAAGGTATAATTATAATAGTAGCAAGCCCTGCATACCTCCTAGGTACTACCTATACAGTATACATATATAGGATAGAATGGTTTCAAGTATATAAGGTATAGGTTTATCAGTAGCAAGCCCTTCATACCTCCTAGGTACTACCTATACAGTATACATATATAGGATAGAATGGTATCAAGTATACCTCCTAGGTACTACCTATACAGTTTACAAATATAGGATAGAATAGTATCAAGTATTTAAGGTAGCAAGCCTTAAAAGGCTTAAAGGGACAGCATTACTTCAAGGGACCCTCCATGCAAAGACGACAAGGCCCGATTCACAACGGTACCCTTAAAAATGTTTTTCTGATCAATAATGTGGAAGATATTGTCGTTTTCCATGGGTAATACAATTCTTTATATTTGATAATTCATGCATGTTTTCCTGCAATGGAAATGTGCATCGTCTTTTTTGAAGAACCACAATTGAAATTAATCAATTTCTTAAATAATAAACATTTATTTCTAATTCTTGATCAGACAAAGTTTTTAAGGAAACCGTCCTGAATCGGGCAATGCTATCTTTGAATGGAGGGGTGCTTAAAATTACGCTTTAACAAAAACATTCTTTAAAAAAGCAATTTTACAAATGTGTGAAAAGATGTCTCACCTTGTTTATAGCCAGGGGAACCAGGTATTGAACTGCTTTAGGTAAAACATCATGTATCCAGACATTAGCCTGAGAATATAAAAATACCACTGTTCTGTACTATGCAAAATTGGTCGAGGGAGCTACGGGTTCCCTCTTCCAATTTCAGTAGAATTTTTAATTTCTCGAAAAAGTAGTTGCACACAATTTTATGGCCTTCAGACAGACAGAATGAGAAGAAAATGAGCGAATTTTTTTTACGAAAACTTCGTCGAGTGTGGGAATCATAGGTCTGTTATGTTGGTAAAAAGGCGATAATAATTATTTACAGCTACTTTACAGGGAAGTTAAGGGAATTTTACTTTACCAAGGGTTCCCAAGACCAATTTTGTCTACAAAACATCAGAGCGCAGCGAGGAATGTCAAAATTGGTCTTGGGAATCCGTGGTTAAGTAAAATTTCCTTAACCTTCTTGTAAAGTAGTTGTAAATAATTTTATCGTCTTGTGAGATAATGCGCGGATTTTTTTCTCGAAAATTTAAACTTTGCAGAATGGGTGGTTATTTTACATAACTGTCCCAAGAGACGTTAAGTAACCTAACCTCCCTCTGTTGGGGGAATCATATAGGTCTGTTATGTTGGTAAAAAGGCGATAAAAATCTTTTCCACATGATTATCTCCTTGATCATGTTTTAAATGGTACAGCTGTAAAACGAGCAAATGAGGTCACTTAAAAATACGCTGACGTTCCTTTTAAATAGTCTTATTGTAACAACTTTAAATCCGTAGGGACATGTTTAAAAAGATTTCCTGCAGCTTGATGCCTTACTGCCTATGCACCAGTTAATTTCCAATGGAAATAATATATTTCCCTACAGAGTTTGAAAAAAAATGTGATTCGACAATAAGAAACAAAAAATTAAATAAATAAGAATAAGTTTAAATGGACAAAGCTGTCAGAAGAAAACATCTGCAATTTCTCTAATAAAACCTGGAAACTCTTTTTGTCAAGATTTGCTTTATTGCTCATGAGGAATTAGGAATTTTGTAATTAAAGTAATATTTATGAATTCTGTATTCTATTTATTTCCAGATTTATTATTTAAAGAAAAAAAGATAATTCATCAACATTAATTTTTTTATAAGTGGTCTTTTTTAAGATGTTTTCTTACCTCTGGAATTGAATTCTTTATAGAGGTAGTCAGTTTCTCCTTGAAGGGGACAATGTTCTTCATTACTAACAATATAATTATAATAGAAGGTAGTCAGTTTCTCCTTACAGGGGACAATGTTCTTCATTACTAACAATATAATTTTAATAGAAGGTAGTCAGTTTCCTTACAGAGGACAATATTCTTCATTACTAACAATATAATTTTAATAGAAGGTAGTCAGTTTCCTTACAGGGGACAATATTCTTCATTACTAACAATATAATTTTAATAGAAGGTAGTCAGTTTCCTTACAGGGGACAATATTCTTCATTACTAACAATATAATTTTAATAGAACTCATATAGTTTGCCGCATTGACCGACATTTTTACTTCACAGGAAGAAAGTTCCAAACCGTGCTTATCTTCCAAATATTATTATCAACGTTTTAGTAACACTCTCTGTCCCGAGTGCAAATATCAATTAAAATTTAGAATAACTATTTCTAACATATTTATAAGCACGACGAGAACTAAAAATAACACTCTTAACTTCCATTCTAAACTTGAAACTTTATGCTGTCGTTTATTTTAAAAAAAAGCTATACCGTTTTCTCAACAATTCAAGATTATCCATTTTCGCACATCTCACATATTCGAATCTTAATTTTGTCGAGGTTAAATATATTTTTTTATGAAAACGGAGCCAAAACTATTCTAAATTAAAGTATGCAGACGGGTTTTTTCTTCTCAACCTAAATAAAAAAATATAAACCGCTAAAAAAGATATCTTTGCACAGGCACAAACGTGACACTCAATGTCAGATTTGGGCCAAATCACTAGTTGGAATGTTCTTCCCCTGAAATTGAATAATGAATAACAAGGACGCATATTGAGGGCACTAAGTCAGCACGCGATTGTATACATTACTGAGGGCGCACATTTAGGACGCACAAATGTGTCAAACATACACAAATATGTCGCATACATACACATATATATCGCATACATACGCATATATATCGCATACATACACATATATATCGCATACATACACATATATATCGCATACATACGCATAAATATCGCATACATACACATATATATCGCATACATACACATATATATATCGCATCCATACACATATATATCGCATACATACACATATATATTGCATACATACACATATATATCGCATACATACACATATATATCGCATACATACACATATATATCGCATAAATACACATATATATCGCATACACACGGATATATATCGCAGTATTACATGATATAAATGTATTAAGAACCTGAACAAATATGTGTCCAATCTACCAGACCCTCACTTTTCTTCTTTTTTCTGACAATACAAAAAAGCATTATTATCATTATTCATAACAAATATAGACATTTAATGGAACTGTTGTTTTAATTTGACCACAATATACGGGGCATGTCCAATTCTCAAAGGTTCCCTACAAACCAGTTTCTGATCAATAATGTTGAAGATATCGCTGTTTTTCTAGCTTCCAATTATTGTCCATTGTTTCAGCAACATCAGAAATTGGTAAATCACTTGATCAGAGAACCAGCAATAGAAAATATCAATTTTCAAAGAAAAGCATGGATAACTCGCTCATTCTTGATCAATTAAGGTTTCTAAGATTTAACGTTGTTTCTGATGAAAATTCAAATAAATAAGTTGCTAGAAAATAATTAACTAGAGGTTTCCCCCACCCCACCCCAGCAGAGTCGGGGATAATAACATTAACCCTATTCAACACTAAACGTTCAATATCAAAGTGGTTAAATTTTAGATGAGTGTCCCCCCCCCCATGTCCAGATTAATATTGCCCCTGCGAGCTGAATATATCCGTTATCAAAGAGTTAAGTAAGATATCTCTAGTAAACACATGTCCAGGTTTTGATAGAAAAGGATTTAATTTCTCTCTTCACCTCTACCCCGAGATATAGAGAAGAGGGTGCAAAAACTAATTTCATAACAAATTTCATCCGCTCCCCCGCCTTCCCCCCATTTTAAAAGAAAAATGTTAAATTAATAACACTTATTAAACCTGACCCTTGTTATATGTTTTAAATCCTCCCTTAACTAAAATTGAAAAACAGAAACTAAGCCTAAAAAAGATTTGCACCAAAATTGAACAGACTCTGTTTAAAGTATATATCATTCATATCAGCAAATCATTTAATTTTTAATTTACACATAAGTTCTTTCTTTAAAGCAAATCTTCAAGTTCCCGTGAACAATTTTAATTATCTATATAATAAAAACAAGACACCTCAAAATTCTCCCTTTTCGTCCAAATATACTATTACATAAGATACTTAAGATCTAATACAAAGTTAATCCTAATAATAAAAATAAGTATACTATCCCAGGAAATCTATAGAATTGAGATACGGGATGATAAATCATAAAACTTTATTTCTTTCCCCCTTCTCTTCATCTAATCCAATACAAGTTCTTGATAAAACAAATCAAAAATCAATGCGGTGAAATAATACGTACCAATAGTTTTCCCATCTTTAAATAGTTCCACTCAACTAGACATCTTCAACTCTTTAATGCATGAGATCAATTAACAACTGACACGATGTGAGATTTGATGTGTACTGCAAGATACATCTGTACTGTAATGTGCATGTACCGTACAAAACAAAGTTTCCTCAGGGGCGTATTTTTCTGATTTATCCATGGGAAACCCGAAATATTTTTTTTTAATCAGAACTTATTCCGCACACCTTACTTTCTTTTGATCCTGTCTCTCTTTCTTCTCTTTCACAAACCTTTTTTTGTTTTTTTTTCTCTCAAAACTGAAACCCGGGAAAACGTTTTTTACATGCAAAAATTTTGTTTATTTAAAATAAGTTATTACGTACGAATCTCTTGTCAATTTTAAGTTTATAAAATGAATCGATTTCTGAAGCTTATGTAATATGTATGTTATTTATTAAATTAAAGTGCTAATTATTTTATTTATCTTAAATGTCATAATCTACTTAAACTGTTATGCTGTGTATTTTGAACCAAATATAGATTTGAATAATAATACATTTAACCCCGACCCCCGTCCCCCATGCCATTTTCCCTCAATCCCCCTCATCTTCCAAATCCAACCAAGATATAAATAAGGTAGTTTTGACCACGTTGGTATTTAATATATTCTAGGAAATATTTTTTAAGAATTGTGGCTAGGAGGAAGGGGGAAGAGAGAAGAAGGTATTTAGGAAGAAAAACATTTTATAGCAAAAGCACAAGAAAGCACAGGGGTTTCGGGATACTATAATTATATAAATACATTCTAACAGCCATATAGAAAAGATTTAGGGGCTCCAGCAGCATCCCAAATCCTTGCTCTAGTCAGAGTAGAGTGTTGAAAAATTCTATTTTAAGAGGTTTCAGTGAAATAGCGGGTTTTCGGTCGAAATTCTTAACTAAAATATACCATTTAAACAACAAAGAGACTTCTCTCAAAAAAAAATTCTTAAGCTGCCAAGCCTTATTTGACATAAATAAGAGGTTTATCAAAAAAATTCAATTTGGCTGACCCTCCTCTAATACCCCACTGTGATTCTCCCCCCTCAAAAAAAACTTTTCACTTATTCTTTGGCTCGATCGGCTCGATTATAGGAGATATAACTAGGGATGGTGTATTGGTTGTCGACGTACTCCGGTGTGGCGTAATAGGACAGCATTATGCTAGTTTTTATTGCAAATTTAAACAATACTTAAAGACAATGGCTTCCGAACCTGCTAAAAAAAACATAGTAACCCAAATGCGTCCCAGTAAAATGTATTTTTATTCTTGAAAAAAACTTTATTTACTTTTTGAAAAATAGATTTTTCATGTTAATTTGGTGAACACTCTCTTTAATACAATTTCTTTCCAGGTTAATACTTTCTTTTTTATTTCCCCTTTAATCTTTAATATAGAGAGAATTACAAGGACATTACGGAGATTATTACACACAATAATACACAGAGTATTACATGCAGTATTAAAGATTTCAACGGTACCCTGAAAACCTTTGTTGTTTGACGTCATTGTTTTCTATTTGAAAATTGATAATTTGTATTGTGACTGTACTTAAAGAAGGAAAAATTCCTGCAAGAAAGCCGACGATTTCTTCCTCTTTTGTTGTTTAGATAAAGGTTTAAATTGTACACCGATGTGAATCAAGTACATGCAACTTAAAGGGGAGGTGTACTGAAAAAGGGAGGTGTACTGAAAAAGGGGGTGTACTGAATAAGGGGGGTGTACTGAACAGTTTATCCTTACAGGGGACAATATTCTTCATCACTAACAATATAATTTTAATAGAAGGTAGTCAGTTTCCTTACAGGGGACAATATTCTTCATTACTAACTTATATATATGTTGCGTATAGCAGGCCAAACGGGTGAACCGATTGGGCTGAAATTTTTTGTGGACACTCATGGGCAACGCCGGGCCCTTCAGCTAGTTTTATATAAAATGTAATTTTTTTCTATTTTTTGGTAAAATCTTTACATTTTTTGTACTTTTTGAAAGATTCAACAAAAATTAAAACATTTACGAATTAGAAGGATGAAATGATGAGACCTACAGGGTTACTCACAAATGATGATAGTGTGAAATCTAGATTAAACTTAAAACTCTTTGAATTTGACGATTCCAATTTTAAATTACGTCTTCTGCTCTGATCCTGAATGTTGTCATTTAATGGCATATTTAATGATTGGTAAGAAATCCGTTTACAGTTGCATGGAATCATGAATATAGGAAACAGACAGTCGTCTATTAAGTCTCATCCTAGTTGTGACTAACTGTCCAAAACTACATCACCCCCCCCCCCTTCTCGGCCTCTTGTTTGCCCTCTTTTTTACAAATCTCCAATCAGCTGCAGACAGACGACAGTTAGAAGACAGTGCCCCGTAAAATTCTGCGCATGTAACGATGTGTGACGCGGCATCCTTTGACATTTTTATTACATACTCTAGTTTGACCCCACAGAGTAATAAGATATTACAGCACGAGATCCTTCAGCTAAATTTAGGATTAGAATACAGAAATTATGTCAGCCTATCCCTTTATTTAGATTTCAGCAGCACATAATTCTGGCTATTTTTTTTCTTGTCTGTGCTGTTAAATGCAGATTGTGGTAACTAACAAATAAGTAACGCCAGTTAATTGTGATTTTAATTATACTTAATTTAAAAACTAAACAGTAAACTGGAAAATTTGTTATTTATGGTAAAGCTAACTATCAAAATATTGATTCAGGCATTTTCAACTATTTAAAAATTGTTATTTTTTATTGTGGTTGTGCCCCTTTAAATCTTCTTCCTGTTTTTTCTTTTCTTCTTCCTCTTTCCTGTTTTTTCTTTCCTTCTTCCTCTTTCCTGTTTTTTCTTTCCTTCTTCCTCTTTCCTGTTTTTTCTTTCCTTCTTCCTCTTTCCTGTTTTTTCTTTTCTTCTTTCTCTTTTCCTTTTTCTCTTCGGCATTTATTATCCTAATTCCCCTTTTACCTCTTTCATTTTTCCCCTCATTCTATCAGTTTCATATTCTTGTCACTTTCATTGTTTAAAGGGACTGTTTGCGAAAAATGAAATGGAGTATAGGCTTACGGCGAAAAATAAACGCTTTTGGTTGCTACTAATCTTACTTCTTCTGTTGCGTCTATATTCTATAAGAAATTGTTTGTAATATCTGAATGATTTGTCTGGAATTAAATTGATTTGTTTACGATCCGAGTTGAATGTTACAACTTTCCAAATTTGTATGGACGCTACGTTCTTCGGTGTGAGTCGTTCTTAACAATTTTCTCCTTATAGACGCAACAGAATGAAGTAAGATTAGCAGCGATAAAAAGCGGTTATTTTTCGCTGTAAACCTATACCCCATTTCATTTTTCGCGAACACTCCCTTTGAATGTTTAAACTCTAAGTGTATGCATTGTGCAGACTGTTTAAAAAAACAGGTGTTTTTATTCACCTTGTGTATACAACACATGGATCCCTTTTCTTTGTCTACCAGTCACTAACCCCCCTTTCTTCCATACTATACTAAAAATTTAAAAAATCATTTATAACTCACCTTAAGAAAGAAATTACTTCAACTTTTACCAAAACTTTTTAAAACAATATTGCACACATCCGTGTACTTGGTCCTACAGGTCCACGGAGACGGGAATGTTGAAATAATAATCGTTTAATCTCATTAATTTTTAAAGTTTCAGACTCTATTGAAATATTTAATAAATTCAAAATGATTCCATGTGCCACTGTTAGATTCTCAATGAGCAGTTTTTTAAGATTATGTAAGCAATCAATAAAACAAATATTTTTTAAAATTTTGCATAACATAAGATTGCATTTGCATAACTACTATGCACTGCATAATAAAACTGTTTTTTGATCTATTCAGCCACTGAGGTTTAATGACAGACAAGCAATTGAATTAATTTTTATAGTTTAAATAAATACGATAATTGTAAGATTCAGGAAACGTTATCAATTTAAGATAACACTTTTAAAATAAGAAATAAAATTCCAAACATCATGAAACAAAAGAAAATAATGCTGGTTTTACTGTTTTCCTTGGTGGTTTTCCAAATTTTTAGGAATTAAAAATATTGGAGGCAACATTTTAAAAATATTGTCTGTTATGTGAGGTTCTACAGGTCTTATTGATGTTCTTGCAAATCAAATGGTTTTTAAAGTAGTTTGAAAATAAACAAATGAAGTGAAATGGGTCTGTGTAAACTGCAAAAATGCAGTGTTTCATGGTTCATGGTACTATTTTAAATCATAATTTGAGTGTAACAGTCACCTCTTTTTTATCTTTGGTTGGACTTTAGCCTGTAAATCTGCTAATTATTTTTTAGAATTTTTTAATTAATAATCACAAAATTGTCCCTAGTCTTGACGATTCCAAAATTTTCTCCGTCTTTTTCGTGCTTTTAAAGTTACCTGAGATATGAAGAATCGTTTTGGTTTCGAAAAATATCTGAGATCAAAGACAATATTCAAGTCGTCTTTCAACTGTAATGTTTCTTAAGACACTCTGTAAACTTATTAATCCAAGGTTTATACTTCTAAATGAGATTTACTTATTAATCCAAGGTTAATACTTCTAAATGATTTTTACTTAATAATCTATGGTTTATACTTCTACATTTGTCATTACTCTATGGTTTGACTATAGTCTGAAATCTGTATAATTATTACTCTATGGTTTTACTAACGTCTAAATTTGTATAATTATTACTCAATGGTTTGACTAACTTCTAAATCTGTAAAATTATTACTCAATGGTTTGACTAACTTCTAAATCTGTATAATTATTACTCTATGGTTTGACTTTTGTCTGAAATCTGTATAATTATTACTCTATGGTTTGACTAACTTCTAAATCTGTAAAATTATTACTCCATGGTTTGACTTTAGTCTGAAATCTGTATAGTTATTACTCTATGGTTTGACTAATTGATTGAGAATGAGTTTTGTGAAATGTGAACTGGGTAATAAATCCTTCATTGCTCATACCACCATATTGTCATGTTCAACCCTGTTCAACCTATACACAATAACACTGCATCAGGCAGGGAGGGGTGGGCTGGAGGGGGGGATAAAAACAAAAAGATTTGTAAAAAGGAGTGAACATAAAAAGTTAGACCGAAGATGAGATAAACAAAACTTAAAGTTGAAAAAAGTTTGTCTTAAAGGTAGTAAGTTACATGTCTTATTCCTGGCTGTTTCCTTTAAACCTTTTTTCCTTTTGGAAATGGATTATTTTCAATTACAGTTTCTCTGAAGAAAAACCTCGCGGACTTATGCAAAAGAGACAAGGATGGAAATCAATAGAATCAAATCTTTCCCAAACAATGTTTTATATAAAAAAAAACACTTTAGATTGAAATCTTGCAAATTTTTTTAATTATAACTTTTTTTGAAGAAATCTTGAAAATAACAAAAATCTTTTGAATTTCTGACCCGTGAGGCTGTGAGGCTGTGACCAAATAAATTAGGCTAAAAATTCAGTCTTTCGAGTAGCCACAGTTTTTAGTTAATTCTCCTTATATCTCGTTTATTTGAGTAATCTTAGGTTGGATTGGGTTTGATCTATTTTCTTCCTTCCGTTTTGGTTTTGCGAATTCGTTTTTTCTCTTCTTTTTCTTTTTAGTTAAGAAACTAAATCAACCTTGAAGCCAAATCTGCATATTTAGTTCTTGTTTTTTCGATTTTGTAAAGTTCTTATTCTTTTCGTTTATGTCTATTTCTCAGATATTGCAAGCTTATCGTAGGCTTATTTAAAAAAAAATAAAGAATTAACATTTATAAGTCAGCTCATACCGGAGGAAAAAGTTTTGCTTAAAAAATCAAGATCAAACATTTATAAAAAAAGAATAGGAAAACGTTGAGAAAAAAATGAGGGAATGAATTTTTACCTTTTTGTCCCGGCAGGGCAGATACAATTTATTATCATGACTTGGCAAATCGTGGTTTTCAATTCTTAACGTGAAATATTGTTAACAAAAGAATGTAGATAGTAAATAAAATCGTATAGAGAAGACAAGCAATGGTTTTCTGAGAATTCATAAATATGAAACTTTTCAAATACTATGTTTGCACACACACAGTATTCAGCATAAACTCTTCTCATGGAGTATGTGTGCACACAGAATTCAACATTTTCTGCTTTCATGGAGTCATGATGTACACAGAATTCAATATTTTCTGCTTTCATGGAGTATTGATGTAAACAGAATTCAACATTATCCTGCTTTTATGGAGTATGTATGTACACAGAATTCAACATTATCCTGCTTTTATGGAGTACGTATGTTCACAAAATTCTGCAAAAACTCATTTCATGGAGTATGAATTCACAGAGAACACAACATTGGCCTCCTTGCATAGAAGATGAATTCCCTCAGAATTTAACCGGTTTTATGGAGTGTGTGAGCACATAGATTTTAACTTAGATCACTTTTTAAACAGAGTGCATTCAAACAGAATTCAACATAAACCTTCTATCATAGAGAATGTATGCACACAGAAACTTAGATGTTATTTAAACGATAGCATAATTTTCCTCAAATTTTATCCTTAAAAAGTTAAACTGTACGTCAATAAAATAGGTAGATATTCAATTTAGATGACATTTTTAAATAAAACAGGATGGGCTTGGTCAGCCAGAAGAAAAAAATGCGCCTTCAAAGGCATTTTTTTGAAAAATTGTCAAAGAACTTGTCAAATCTTTCGTTGGGATGTTTAGAAAGATGAAAATTTCCCTGTATGATAATTGAAGGACTGCAGTATGGTTTTGGTGAATTATATTGGCGTACAAAGCCTAGAGGTGTCAGAATTGATTTTTTTTGCATATTTTTGAAAACTTCTATAAAACTTTTAAAGTTTAATTTTTGATAAAACTTTTTTCATCCCAACGAATGATTTGACAGGTTCTTTGTCGAAATGGGCAAGAATGAAAAAAAATGAAAAAATGAAAAAAGTCAAAACAAGCAATGAAGAAAAATAATGCCAGCCCCCACTGTGATCTTGCCAGGTTACATGTGTTCCATACAACTTGCTGGGTCGACTCTACATTGGGTAGTCTAGACTGGATAGTACAACTTAATGCATATACATATACATAGCCCTCTATTACCCCCTGCACTTTTGCTAAAAAAGAAAGTTTAAAGTGTGGGGGTAGATGAAATATGACCCCTCCCCCTTATTGTATTTACACTAATATTTCGTATCTAAAAATGATGAAACATAAAAAACCACAAGAAATATTTGATTAGAGTTCTGTAATCAATACTTTTATCTACTTTAAAAACTAGAGTCAGTTTATCACATTACCTTTACGAAATAGATCTTAAAATACAGGGTTACCCACAAAGGATGAGACTTTAAAGATGACTGTTCGGAATTTATATAATGTGATATCTGTTTCCTGTTATTAATGATTGCTTGCAATTTTAAGCTTGTTTCATAGTTTGACAATTATTAAATAAACCATTAAAAGACTAAATTTAAAGCATAATTCTCAATTTTGCGGGTAACCCTATATGTATACATCATAAAGTGTTGCCTAAACAATTCACTCTTTCAACAACTTTATATTTGTTAACCCCATACTGTCAATTCGGATAGAATAAGTATAGATAAGCTTCGGGTGAAGAAAATTTCATAAGTTTCAGAATTTCATGAAATTGTAGTTTAGGGAGTTTGCCTTTTCAACATATATTGCTCATATCCTAAAGAAAAATAAAGTACTTGTTGCGATTTATTTCATAAAATACGACCATTTTAGGCTAATTAAACAAATAGATATACAGGGATACCCAGAAAACTGTAGAATAGGGAGAGACATTGATAGAATCTTTAAAATGTCGTCTTGACAATTTTTTTATAGTTACCTGTGTGCTCAGTTAGCTGTACTATACACTTAAAACTGTTTACTGATATTGATATACTATACGTTAGGCCACAATCTCCTTATAATAAACAAAAATGCAGTACGCTATCGGTATAAATTCTGGCCTATACAATTAGTAAAGGATTAGCGTACATCATCTGCACTCTATACACTTTAACCTCGTTGGATTTATACTATTATACCCAAGGTGCTACTGCAAGAAAAGTTATTTCAGAGGTGTACGCAGTTTTTGTACTGCAGTGAACTGTCTTTGGGCGGAAAAGTTAACACAAGACGGACATGAATCAATTTTCACAAAAGTAATTTATAAAATATTCTGGTCTAAGGAAACTATTGTGTGAATTTTCGAAATTATCAAAATTAAATGCTTTTATCTTCCTCGGATACTGATGCATCTATTCTTGTTTACAAATTCCGCCAAGAGAGACCTGGTTTCAATATGTACGCAGAGTATACTTGACTGCAATTAACTTTCCTTCCATTAGTACCTTGGTTCAAAGTATTTAAAGGGTCTATAAACCTAATTTCAAGTGACCCACAGTTCAAAGATGACAATGTCCGATTTACATGCAAAACCATACCATCTAAACCTATATCTGATCAATAAAATGGAAGATATTGTCGTTTTTCGGATTTTAAAGTGTTTAATTCTGATCATTTCTATTTGTTTTACAGCAGCAGAAGTGCACAAGTCAATTTTGTAGAAAATCCACATTTGAAAATAATTAGTTTTCAAAATTACAAACATAGATATCTACTTGATCAGACAAACCTTTTAAGGATAGTATTGGGAATCCAGCATTGTCATCTTTGAATTGTAGGGATCACTTGCAATTACGCTTTTGCAAGTTCTTTAAGATTAGAAATGGCCTTGCTCAGAAGTGATATTATAAACAAGGAATTTATTCTACAAGCAGTCAGGTATATATTATATATATACTAGCTGAAGGGCCCGACACTGCTCGTGCGAATTTTTTTTTTAATTTCAAACTTTTTTTAGCCTTTAACACCCCCCGGGCACCCATGAGTATCCACAAAAAAATTCAGCCATATCGGTCCAGCCGCTTGGACGGCTACAGGGAACATAAATAATTACGAATGTCTTGTTTTATCTAATACTAGGTGAAGGGCCCGGCGTTGCCCGTGGAAAAACAAAATTGTAAAAATTCTAATTTTTTTCGCCTAAGTCACCCCCAGGCTACCCACGAGTTTCCACAAAAAGTGTCAGCCCATTCGGTCCAGCCGTTTGGCCGGTCGTCAGGTATATATTATATTATTTATATTTATTCTTACAAATGGTTAGCGGAATCTACTGATATCTAGAAAACTGTAAAAGTTATCAAATGTTTAGAAAGCCGGTCAAATTTAAAGCGTCGCAACAGTATGGGCTTTGGTTTTTTTAAACCATAAAGGTTCTGGCTTATAAGGTAGCTCATCAAATAGTACTTAATGCAAAGGTTTTAATTTGACTTTCTGCATTAAAAATATCTCACTAATGATAAAAAATAAGTTATTTCTAGTGTTTGTTATAAAGATTCAAAATACCCAATGTCGTCTTTAAAGGGACTGTAAACGTAATTTCAAGATGGATCATTGTCCCGGACCTCCCTGCCATATATCCTGAAAGATATTTACTTAACAGTCAGATGCATCATGCATCATGCATGTAGCTGTATATTTCGAGTTAATCTTCAGTATCAAACCTGCATCTATATATATACCTGATATGTGCATCAAGGTCCTTAAAAGCATATGTAACCAAAACAGATGAATAAAATGTTTTAGTTTAAAACATTTAAAGAAATAAAATCAAAAGTGTGAATATTTTCCTGACTTAAATGCAGAAATAATCTCTCTTTGTGTTCATAAATAAGTTTGGTAATGAAAACTCTGAAAAAGGAAAATGTTGAAGACGACATTTCAATAAATGTTTTCATAGTCAACTTCTTCAAATAGCTATAATAGCTATTGCAAGAAAATCCGCGTTTCTTGTAAATTCTATGGGTTTTTTACATAAAAATATTTTCAATTTTATTTTCAAATGCAATAAAGATGAAATATTTAATGGTCTTGAATTTTAAAATTTGAAATTAAACAGCGACGGTGTCTCACTCTCAACTATAACTGATGGGCCTTCAGTTGGTTCGTTTTTTTAGTCGTTTTTTGTTCACATTTTCTTTCAGACTCAACATTTAGGACAGTTATAGATGAGGAGCAAATATTTTAAATTGTTAATTATGAAAATTCGTTTTCTTTACACTATGTCTATTTTGAACCTGGCAGAAGATTATATATTAGAGTGGAATTTAATAGAAAAAGTATTTTTGTTATATAACCTTTTGGGCCCTGGAATATCATTTTATAGAAAATCTAAAATTAATGTTAAAAGAAAACCAAATTTTGAAATAGGCTGGTTTCATAATTGACCAATGATCATTTCACATAGACTTTACTTTCACTTTACAAACGATGATTTTCCGTTATAAATATAAATCAGATGATGTTTTTTATTCACCTAATTCATTTTATAAAGTTTATTTAACAGCTTTAAAAAATTTGAAATAGAAATGGATAGTCTAGGGAACATACTGTATTAATGTACTCTACTGCATATAATTTGTGAACATTTACATGATTTGTATACTTTGAACTCCCTTTCAGGCTGAAAGGGACTGAAAAAATTCATAATAAATTCCACTCTAATATATATTCTTTCTGTGGGCAGAAGTAATGTGCAAAAAACACCCAAAACCTATGCAAAAACATTCGTGTGAAAACAATCAGTTTCGGATAATTTTGCACTTGATTTTTTAGTTTAAAGTGTTTTGCGACGTGTAATAAAATCAAACTTTAACATATTACAGATTTTAAATCTTTCAAATTTTATTACTTTTGTTCTTAAAACGATCTAAACCGATTAACAACAGAAGTCATAACAAAAAAAATGTTCAAAAATTTACGAAATTTCATGGAACTTCTGATTTTTTTAAAAAGAAAGTTTGGTACATTCTGGCTCAAAATATACTATAAATATTTAAGCTTATTAATTACACAATAATTACTCCAATTTTTAGTAATATCTTATTTTTTTCATTCAAACAGCCAGAGAGAGCACCCATACTTAAAGGAAAAAATGTACAAAAAGATGTCAATTTCCTTTTCATCGTATAGGCCTCCCTTTCAACAACAGAGTTTTGTATTTATAGCTTATATTTCTAATTAAAAGGAGTAATAATATTAATAAAAGAAACTGTTTCTATTTATTCATTAATTCAGACAATAACGCTATTGAATTTCACTCATGATAAAATTTCTTCTGAAAAGAAACAATATCTAATTTCTCACGAATTTTTGAAAAGGATCATTTTAATTAAAAGAGAAATCTCTTGTTAATAAATAAATAAAGCTAACAGAATTGAGTTTTTATTGGGGAATATTTAAATCCCCCCACCCACCACATTTTAAAGGGAGTGTTCGCGAAAAATGAAAGGGGGAATAGGCTTAATTCCAAACAAATCATTCAGATATTACAAACAGTTATAGTCATCGATTACTTTTCAACGCATTCGTATATAGTTAATATTTCATAGTATTTTTGATTTTGATTTTTTTAAAATAATTTTCGCTGGCGCTGGATTTTCGAACATTCCTGGAAAATATGAAAATGTCGACTTCATTATCAAAAATCCTCGAAACAGGAATAAATGTTTTCAAAAGTAACTCTCAGATCATGAAAAATACAAAATATTATGAAATATCAACTATTTACGAATGCGTCGAAAAATAATCGTTGACTATTGTTTGTAATATCTGAATGATTTGTTTGGAATTAAATTGATTTGTTTACAATCCGAGTTGAATGTTGCATCTTTCTGAATTTGTATGGACACTACGTTCTTCGGTATTAGTCGTTTTTAACAATTTTCTCCTTATAGACGCAACAGATAGAAGTAAGATTAGTAGCGATCAAAAGCGCTTTTTTATCGCATTAAACCTATACCCCCTTTCATTTTTCGCGAACACTCCCTTTAAAGTAAATCAGTGCTTAGGATCTGGATCCATTGTATCCGATTTTAGCTTCACGAGTAGTCTGCACGTGGATCCGGTTCAGTAGAAATATGCGGATCCTCGGATCCAAGTGGCAAAATGTCAACCAAAATATCGAAAAAAAAAACATTTTGCTCTTAAAACACCCATAATATTGTCACTATCATGCATTTAGTCAGATGTAATTAAAAACTTTATAATTATCAATTGATAAACCAAGTTTCTGTAGAAGAAATTGGGACACTAAAAAAGAAATTTAGGACATTCTTTTGAACAAAAATGTTGGCAAAACCGTTATGATCCATTTTTTTAAAGGGGGAGATTAACATCCAAATTTTTCACCCCCCCCCCCCCCTAACGTACCACCATAAGGAGGTTATTTTCAAAAATGAGCTGTTTTTGATTACAGGGTGTTGGAGAAAACTAATTATGTGGAAATAGACTCAATAACAACAGGTTGGTTATTAAACTATTATACTCTCTAAAGATGATAAATATTTTCTAGTTTTCATTTCATTATTTTTGCTTTGTAGGAACTCATGTTGATAGAGAATTCCAGGATGTCATAAAAATTCAGGTCTATATAGATTTTCATTATATTATACACAAATTTATATATGATAACGTAATAAATAAGCATGACAATTGGGACTTGAGATAGTCTTAAATATCGTCTTTGATCGTCTTGACTGAGTTTGAAAAATTTCGATTGTATAAAAATTTATAATGTCCGTATCCTTACATTTATGATTTCACGTATCTGTAACTTGTTTCTTTTGTTGCCTATAATAAGTCATAAAAGAAAATAATTCATTATTAATTAAACCTTGGAATTGTCATGTTTTAAGATTTTCAGATCGCTAAAAACCTATTCTGAGCTGTGCCACAGTTATGCTAAAATATTCACTTTTAAAGGAATATGCAGACTACTGCGAGAGAAGGAAAAATTTTATCAAGAAAAAATAAAGAATAGATAATATTCTGTCTATATATATATAGATAAGAGCTGTAGTGAGAAGAAAGTTAAAGGAGTATAACTGGATTGCAAAGTTAGCGCCTGGGTAAGTTACTTTTACTAATTTAATTGTGAAAAAATCGGATTAAAAAAATCATTCCTTATTTTATGTTTTAAAGTATAAAGAATTTAAGAGATGGAAAGGAATTGAGTTTTTGCCACAAACTCTGATTTTTTAATCCCTATATCTCTGCAATCCGATGATCTCGTATGACCTTTGATATTTCAAACTATGAATTCTGACAGATCAAATATTCTAAATTTGAAGAGATTAGAAAATTAATTTTAAGTTAAATAATAGTGTAGAATTTCACTGGATTATATGCAGTTTATGCAAATGTATCAATGTGTAGTTTCTGGTTTTTTTGGCAAAAATATTACACAACCCCTTTTCTCCTTTTAATACGTGTTTAAGTACCTATCAAAAAATTAAAAAATCTGAGAAAAATCTAAAAGTCGTCTTTTCTTCAGGTGTGAGAAGGTTGGTACAGCAGCACATACACTTGGGGTGTGGGAGAAGGAGGTTAGAGTTTACAGGTATAAAAACTTCATTTTAGTTTTTTTTATTTTCAAAATTATTTTAATTTATTTGGCCTGAGTGGGTAACAAATTGTCAAAAATCATAAATACAAAATAAAATACTAGAATTTTCATAGTTTTTATTTATAATTAGTATTATTTTTATTTTGTATGTAACCTCATTTCTTAAATTCTTAATTTTTTAATTGTTCTTTCTACTTAAGTTTTTTATGATTTTCTTTAATCGGTTATAATTTGGTTTTCAGAATTTTTTTATATTTCTTTATTTTGTATCATTCGATTTATTATTTTACATTTTATATTTTTTGATTTCTTTCCTTGTTTTTTCTTCTATTTATTTCTAAACTTTTTTCATGATGTTTACAAACTTTTTTCATTTTTTGTATCCATACTTTTTAAAGCAAATCATATTTTTTTTATTATTTTTTACAAATTGATTAGAAAATATTTAGGGATCTGTTCTCCTATTTTGAGTATGTTGGAAGGACTAATGATGTGATGCTACCTATGATCCCATCTTTAATCTATTCTAAACTAGAACTAAGCAAGGTACAAAGATTAAAATTGATTGGAAATGTTGTTTTTAGATTCAGATCTTCTTTATGTACAGTGAAACCCTTAATAACGAATACATACAACGAAAGAATTCATCAAATGTCGTATTCTTCACTTTCTGATTTTGGAATGTTGCAGATATTTAGTTCTTTAACTAAATGATTATATGGAACTCTTTAAAACTGTTCCCGCATATTCATGGCTATTTATTTATTTTCGCAAATACTGAAATTTACGTAATATAGTATAAAACTCTTTGGAAAATTGTCAAGACGACATTTGATAAATTCTTTCGATGTATTCGTTATAAAGGGTTTCACTGTATATAATAATCATATATACTCTTTTTGTCTGGGTGTTTGTTTGTTACCGATAAACGTTAAAGCGGCTCAACCGATCAGGCCAAAATTTTGTGTGGGACCTTACATGATCCCAGGGAAGGTTTCTGAAGCATCAAAATTGGAAGAAAAAATCCTAAAAAATAGTGGATTTTCAAAAGAATATTTCGAAAAGAAAAATTCGCCGACATTTTAAGATTATTTTTAATATCCGACTTTCAGAGTAGCAGGAAAGGGGGCGCAAAGCTCTCTAAAGTCTAGTTTGATAAATGTTTCAATTTATTGATTGAGATGATTTGTGTATTGTGCAGCTTGTAAATTAATAGTTGGGAATTTTTCTGTTGGATATCCAGCAAAGCCTAGAAATTTAGAAGCTGAAGTCGTATTTATCAGTGGACAAAGATGACGGGCCCACAGGTTTTAATAAGAGTGTTTCCGAAAAATGAAAGATTGTATAGGCTTACGTCGAAAAATATTCGATGGTAATCGCTACTAATCTTACTTCTATCTGTTGCGTCTAGAAGGAGAAAATGGTTAAACACGGCTCATACTGAAGAACGTAGCGTCCACACAAATTCACAAAGTTGCAATTTTCGACTCAGATTGTAAATAGTTTAATTTTATTCAAAACAAATCATTCAGATATTACAACCTATAATCATAGAACTTTTTTCGACGCATTCGTTTCGACGCAATCATGCATAAAGGGTGTACATAAAGGGTGTACATAGAAAAGGTTCCCACTTACATTTGAATTCTAAAGCTATCAATATTGGCAATAAAATCTTGTAAATTCATTTTTACCTAATAAAACTAGTCCATGCAAAAAAATATTGGATTTGGAAATGATTTAGTAGTTGTTTTTGGACATCTACGATCCAGCTAACTGGACAGCAGACACATAGACTCTATCAACCTTCTAAACTCTAGAAAGGTTTTTAGTTGTGTCCATCTACTTTCTTTAATGATTTTTCTCTCCAGGGTTGGCAGGACAGGAATTATACTGTTCTCTTCATCTAGTTTGCTTTTTTTATGACATCAGCTGCTCAAGTTGCTTGATTTTGAGGTTTCAGTCCCTAAGGAAAAGACAGCTGATCCATTAATTTTGAAGATACTTAGCAGAGCTTATCACCCTTTTTTTCTATGAACATCTAAAATCTTTTTAGTTTTGTGTTTATGTTAAGGATTTTTTCCATGCTTCCTTTAGATATCTTTATCACTTAATTTGAACACCTGTAGCGATCAACATCCAATAATTTTCGACGTAAGCCTATACACCCTTTCATTTTTCGCAAACACTCTGTTTTCAACTAGGAAATCAAAAAGTCGAAAATCCACCAAAGACATCATTTTATCTCTGAAATAAGTTCTGCTGCAAAGGTTTAGTCATGCACGTGAAGATCTCGGGCTAATCCCTGGAATCAAAGAATAAGCCGGAGATCAAACACAAAAGTTTCGCCCTCATTGGTCAAAACTTGATTGATTAAGGTTTATTGATTGATAAATTAATAAATTGATTAATTTGTTGATTTTTATATCAAGTTATTTTAAGACCTAATTATGTATTTGATGTACGATTTATTTCATTGATTGCTTGTTTAGGAATGTATGCTGTTCTCTGATGAGAATGAGCTAGGGTTGACCCCCTCCACCTTCCCCCTGGACAGGCCCAGTCTCCTACTAGCCGTGGAGTGGTTGGCAAAATTCCATGCAATTGGTAATATACTACACCACACAACACATTACACACAGATACACTACACACAGAAACACTACACACAGAAACACTACACACAGATACACTAAACACAGATACACTAAACATAGATACACTATATATGGATACACTACACATAGATACAGATAGACTATACACAGACACTCTACATACTGATAAAGTACACACAGATACACTGCACACAGATACCAAACACACAGATACCATACACACAGATACCATACACACAGATACTTTACACACAGATACACTCCACACAGATACACTGGTCACAAATACATTATACACAGATACACTACACACAGTCATACTACACAGAAATATGCTATTCACAGATCCACTGCACACAGATACACTACACACAGTCATACTACACAGAAATATACTATACACAGATCCACTGCACACAGATACACTACACACAGATATACAACACACAGACACGCTACACACAGATACGCTACACACAGATACACTACACACAGATACACTACACACAGATATACAACACAAAGACACGCTACACACAGATACACTAAACACAGATATACAACACACAGACACGCTACACACAGATACACTACACACAGTTCGAGCTTAGTCATTCGATTTGATTATTCGTTTTTGAAATCAGACATTCAGTTTTCAACCCGCAATTTTTATTTTTCCAACAAATATTAAAACTTTTCTCTTGTTTTATTTAATTATTGTAACACAAACCTTATTCTGGTTTCGATCAATCAATCTGAAATTTATATTTTTCCAAAATTTTCACAATTAACCCAGAAAGAGGCTTCATTATTATAACACCGTATAAGGGACACCTTGTACCTTTAATAATATTTTATTTAGGATACAGTTTCTACAAGTCAGGACATCCTACAGAGGAATAAAATTATTTCAATTTTTTCATAAGTTTAAGTGTATACAGGGATAACCAGAAAGGAATAGGAAGTCGACTTTTAGACTCAAGATATGACAGTCCAGTGAACAGGAAACACGAAAATTGTGCAGTGTAAACAGACCCATTTCACTTAGAACATAAATTTAATAACTAACTAGTAAAGTCATTTGCTTAGAAACAAGATCAAATGAATGGCTTAAATCTCGTCTTCCTGATCTACAGTTTTCTGGGTATCACTGTAAAAAAAGCTTAAAAAAATGTATTTACTTGTTGGCTTTCCTTGGAATGGAATCTTTTAATCAAAGTGTTTTGAAAGAAAATCTTCAAGGTCTTCAGACGTACACAAATGGTTTAATTGTTTTTAGTAACTTATCAAATAAACAAAAGATAAATAGCTTACAGTAAAAACATCATCAAATTGTCACCCTAAAGTTTACTTGACTAACCACTTATACAATTTTTGTTAATGTATGTCTTTAAAAATATGAAAAAATGAATGTTTAGTGGTTAATTGATCCTTTGCCTTTTGCTGGTAAATCATGTCCAGATCTGCTGAAGATAATAAGATCAGCTGATTCTACAGATACAGCAGGTCTCCATCTTGTTTTTATAAAATCAGCTGATTTCAAAAGTAAAAATAGTTGATGGCCATTTTTCTTTTAATCAACTTACAACACAGATATAAATTTTGTTACTTTTTTATAAGACCTTCTAATTTCACAGTTATGATTCCACAAAAACAAATATGGTGGCCATTTTTTTATATCAGCTAATTCCACAGATACCATTCCACAGATACCACAGATGGCCATTTTTATCAAATCATCTGATTCAACAGATACAACTGGTGGCCATTTTTTCATACGATCAGCTAATTCCACATATACAAAAGGTGGCCATTTGTTATAAGATCATTATTTTTGCAAGTTATCTAGCTGATGACATAGGAATAGCAGGTCGCCATTTTTGTGCACGAAATCCGCTGATATCATATATATAATATTAATCTTTAGTTATGTCTGAATATGCATCAAGATTAGAATCATTGTTCTCTAGTTCAGCGTATGCAGATATCTGTAGATCTGTTTTTAGCCCCAGGTTCTCATATTTTATCATCTTCATCCTTAATTGATATATATCCAGTTCTTACCCTTATTCTCCAAATAGATTGTCAAGTACACTAGATGGCAACGTAGAATTTTTACACTCTCAGTACAGCTGTATTCTTACGTCTCAAATGTCTATTCAGTTTTTGTGTCCGGCAAAATTATTACTAAAAGTGAAAAATTTAGACAGAGTACTTATCTTACAGTGAATTAAAAAAGTGCAATTTTATGTGTTCTTTATTTTCTTCTTTTTTTACATTTCGTTTTCCTCGTTATATTTGTTATTCTTGTGACGTCGTGTATAATTGGTCTGTTGCCACCTATTGTACTTGATAATCTATTTGCGTCTTCTCAATATTATTAATTATCCTTATTCCAATCAAAAATATTTTCATCCTTTCTCTTGTTATATTTTTTATCTTTATGCTTATTTTACCATCTTCACAATTTATATCATAATTCCTATTTACATCCTCATCCTTACCCAATAATCGGTATAAAAATCTAAACCATACTTGATCAATCAAACCTTTCAAAGTATCGTTGTGAATCGGGCATTGAAGTTTCTTTAATTTTTATCCTAATCCTTTTTCTTTTATTCTCTCTCTCCGTAATCTTAGTTTCTAAAATTGTATCTAACTATTCAAGTTAGAGTATTAGAACGTTAGAACGTTAATTGTTTAGGGACGGTTTGTTTGTAACGGTTTGTCACGGTCGTCCAACAGTGCGGAATCTTCTAGTTTGGCAGGAAAGAGAGAGAGAGCAAAGATTTGTAGAAAAGAAAAAATCTCGCATCACAAAGGAATTGAGTTTTAGCCGCAGGCTCTGATCTTTCAATCCCTATATCTACTTAAACCAATGTCGAAAACCTTTGATATTTCAAACTATGAATTCTGTTAGATCAAATATTCTAAGTTTGAAATATCAAACATTTCAACCATCAGATTTGAAAGATTTGGGGATTTGAAATAGCTTGTGTCAAAATCTCATTTCCTTTTCCCAAATATTGTGTACTGGGGCTCGGGACTTTTGTGTTGAATACTCTCATCGTTTGATCTCGATATCCACTCCGGGCACTTTTAATTTGAGGATCAATGCTTAATCTCTTCGTTTTAGTTATAGTTTTATATTTAGTTATTATTATTTAGCTACCTTCAACCCCTGTCTGGGTTTGATTAAAGATTAAATAAAATGATCTCGATATCTACAATACAAGAGTTCTTAGCTCTCGGTCTACACATGTACATGACGTCATTGGACACAGTATAGATTTGTATATTAATAATGAATTTTATTGAATTGAGCAATGAATTGAAGCTAACATTGGGATCTTCATACTTCCTTTTCTGTGAAAACAAGGTGTCAACTGTAAATGGGTATGCAGTGATGCACCAAAAATTATTTAAAAATGCTGCATTGTATCTTTTAATATAAAATCTTTGGTGAGGAGGATCAGGAGGATCAGGAGGAGAAGGGAAGTCAGAGACCTCTAGAGGCGTTATTTGCAAACTTTGAAGAAGCCAGGTAATTAATAAACTGTTAATATTTAAATTTTTAGGCAAATCAGTTGACGGGTTCATGACTTATAGGATCGGACAGACAAACAGAGAGGTAAAACTAAACTCAACAAAAGAATTTTTTCTATAAACAGTATTGATTCAATACTTGATAAACATAATAAAATAAATTCTGTGATTTGACTAAATAACTAAAGGCACATTTTAGATTTTTCTTTTTTAACCCAAACATCTGTTTTGATTAAAATGGTTTTCATGAAATTTGTAGATTAATTGCAATCTTGTCATCTCTCTCAATTGTAAAGAGTTCTCTAACTTTTTAAATAATATACTACGTTGTAGAGTTTTAAAATTTTATAATACTTAGAAGCTGTATTCAACATTAAAAATGAAGAAAAAAAATAACTTTACCTTTTCTACAGTAAATGTTTTACACAAAAATGTTCCAATTTGCGTTTTCTAATTCTTATTTAGTTCATGTCCTACTAAACATTTTAGGTTAGATGCGACATTTGAATGATAATGATTATATATGAAACAGCTTGTATACAAAGTTATAAACAATTACAAGCAATCTTGTAGATAAAATACGTAAGCAGTGCACTTAATTTACATCAAGAAGGATAATTCCCGTCATCTTTGATCAGACAAAGGTTTGAAGGGTACGGTTGTGAATCCGACATGAGAATCTAATACAGAGAAAGGTTTGAAGGGTACCGTTGTGAATCAGACATGAGACTCTAATACAGACAAAGGTTTCAAGGGTACCGTTGTGAATCAGACATGAGACTCTATTACAGAGAAAGAAGGGTATACCGTTGTGAATCAGACATGAGACTCTATTACAGACAAGGTTTCAAGGGTACCGTTGTGAATCAGACATGAGTAAGGGTCACCTGAAATTTGCGTTTACAGTTCCTTGAAGAAAAATTACTTTTTTTAAAACATGTTGAACCGCAACATATACATTATACATATCTTGAAATTATTATTTAAGATTATGCCAGCCCGGCACTGATTTAGCCATCTTACTCTATACTTCAACTAATAGAGAAACTAGGTAAGGATAATGTAAAAGTAGAAATGACCAAACTGGTAAATGGTAGGGTTTGACCCCGCATATGTTACATAATTGCATATTTATAAAGAATATAAAGACAAAAAAATATAAAATTGCAAAAAAGAAAAACTTTATTTAACGGGTAAAAACGAGTTACAAAGTTAAGGCTTAATGACTTTTAAGCATTACCCCTAATATATTATATTGTCATTGCCCCCGCCCCGCCCCCCTACCTGTTCCGAAGAACATAAGATAAAGAATATTAAAGGAATGTAATAGTAGTGTAAACTATGTATTTGAAATAGCAATTTAGCCACGCCCACAACTAACTTTTTATCTAATTTTTAGAAAAATTTTATCCCGCATTTTTACTCACAATTTCATGATCTTGGGAATAAAAAGTTTCTTATTTGTTCCGAGGCGAATAAGAAACATTTTATTCCGGAAAAGCAGGTTTCCCTTTTTATTTCACGGATTTAAAAAAAAACGCACATTATTATGAATAAATTTATCTATCCAACTCTGTCTTGTGTTAGTTATTATTTGGGAAATTATGTTTTTTGTTTTAATTTTTTCTTTTTTGTTTGTTTTTGGTTTAAATTCAAGATTTTTAATCCCTCACTATGTCCCGCATGATAAAACAAGACAATTGTATAACTAGATACTTTTAAACTTTTAATAAAACTTCCGAGAAAGATGGTATTCTTTGACAGTTGTTTTTATCAAACTTTAAAATATTTTTATTTAAAAAAATCGAAAAACGTTAGTTTTTGGAACATTTTTTATTCGTTTTTTGTAAATTTTTTCCGTCAGGGTCAAAGTTTTCTTAGACGCTGCCAAACTTTGACCCTAAAAGAAAATGTAGGCAAAAAAACGCATCAATTTGCACATTACTAGCCACAGTTGTTTCCACACCCCCATTGGTTGTAGCTCTACAACAACAACCCCACCCCCGCAAAAATATTTATAAATGAATAAATTAATCTAAATAATAAAAAAAAAAAAATCAATTTGCACATCACTTGCCACAACTGTTTTTCCCCCCTCTCTCTTGGATATTCCCTCCCCCCCCCCCCCTCTCCCCTTTCCAAGAAAAATTTATAAAATTATAAACCTCTTATTTATGAATTGAAATGATAAGCGCCAATGATATGTTATATGTTTACACTTTCATTTTTATCAATCTATCATGTCGCTATATAGGTTGATAGAATTGATACATTCTAATTAAAATATCTAACGCTTGCGTTTGTGTTGCTCCACAGAGGGAAAAATTGTATAATTAAAAAAAGATATGTCACGCATGTCCACTCAACTGTTAATAAATTTATGATGTGAGTAAACCTTTAAACCTGTTTACATGTTATATAATAATATATATACAAGCTGAAGTGTCCGGCGTTGTCCGTGGAATTTTAAAAACACTTTGATTAAAAAATAAAATTTTGATTTTAAAAATTTCAAGTTATTTTTAGCCTTGGTACGAACTTACGTCCCCCTAGGAAGCTTTGGATTTCCTCAAATTTCAGCCAATTTGCTCCCGTCGTTTGGTCAGCTTTAAATAGTTAATTTGGTCCTGTCGTTTGGTCAGCTTTAAATAGTTAATTTGGTCCTGTCGTTTGGTCAGCATAAATAGTTAATTTGGTCCTGTTGTTTTTTCCTCAAAATTCAGCCAATTTGGTCCTGTTGTTTGGTCAGCTATAAATAGTTAATTTGGTCCTGTCGTTTGGTCAGCTTTAAATAGTTAATTTGGTCCTGTCGTTTGGTCAGCTATAAATAGTTAATGAAATTTTTTTTAAATAGAATATTAATAGAAAGAAAGTGAAGACTCAAAAACCCCTGTTTGCTTTTTTATTCAAATTCGCCCCCTCCCCCATTGCTCTTCAATAAAAACTCGTAAATACATTATACTAAAAAACTTTAACTACTTAGTAATTAACCTAAAACCTATATAGATAAAAACCTCATATTACGTCACAGATTATAAAGGCGAGAGTGACGTCATATGAGGTTTTAAAAATCTATCTTAAAGGAGATGATACATTGGAGCGCATGGAGAGTATTCAGCCTTATTATATACAACTCTGCTTTGACATAAGATATAAGAACAAAACGAAAAATGAAAAGGATTGATATTTGGTTTAGAACTTTTGTCATATCTTGTGGAGCCTCTAAAATAAGATAAAAATACCTCGAATGTTTAAAAGCAAACAAAAAAACGATTTTCATCTCTATTTTTTTCAGGAAAGAAGAACTCAGCAATATCTTAAAGGATTGTTTTTTAATATAAAATTCCACTTTGAAAAATTCCAACCCATTGAACAATTATATTTATTATTTTTCAAAATAAGGCACAGTTCGCCATAATGTAAAATGAAGAAAAAAGCTTTGCATTTTTAAGTCTATAGTTATGTTCATACGCTTCATAAAGGAATTGAGTCTTCGCAACAAATTTTCTAATCCCTATATGTTTGCAACCTGATGGTATAAACCTTTGACATTTTAAACTTAAAATATTTGATTAAACAGAATTCGTAGTTTGAAATATCTAAAGTCTACGACATTGGGTTGTAAATATATAGGGATTTATCAAAACTAAATTTTAAATTTCTATAATTAAAAAAAATAATTTTTTGTAGCATTATCATTCTGAACTAGAGGATTATTTGCTTCAGCTTGGATTCCCCCCGCACACCTATACATTCTCCCAACTAGTCGAGGATTATCAGGTAGTTTAAGCAATGTTAAAACAAAGACGACTTGGCCGAAAGCTGCATGCCGCAACATCTTATCCAGACTTTTTCAATTTTGAAGTTTTCTTTTCTTCTTGATTTTTCATTTAAGAGCAATTTTTAGCATGATTATTTATTATCATGATTAACGCCGACTTAAAAGATCTGGATTTTATAATAAAAAAGGTTAAAAATGTTTGTATATCAATATTCAATATATACTTAATGAAGGATGCTGTTGTTCCTGCAGTAGGAATCGCCGTCAACCTTATACCCGGTGTCATAGGTAAAATATATACGTTTATTTTTGCACCTTACTATTGGACTGATTACTTGCCTTATTCTCTTATTTTATATTTCTTATATCTTTGCGACCTGATGTCTTAGACCTTTAATATTTCAAATTATGAATTCTGTTATCTAAAGCTTGAAATATCAAGTGTTTTTTTCACCATCATGTTGCATAAATAATAATCAATTACTTAATTAGATTTTTATTCCAAAAGCACTTTAGTTATATTCGATACTATAATTTTATAATTATATCTATATGTAAAAGATAAAAAAAATCAGATTTTTAAATTTTGGTTTAGAGACAGGGGATGAGACTGATAGTGTTGGCCTTGGCACAGGTTGGTAATTTTCAATCAATTCATAGACAGGGGTGTATAATTTATATGTTCTTTAAACAAACTTATTTTCCACTCCTCGCGAAGCGCATTAATTTTCTTTCCCTTAATTAGGGGGAAAAGAAAAAAATTATTTTTATGGGAAATTAGATTCATTTTTTTAGATCAAAATTTCATCTTTCCCCAGATCATCAATAATCATGCGCCCTCCCCCTCCCACGGTGGGGTATTTTAGGGGTTCATGTGGGTGACTGTTTTAGTCACAATAAACTCCTCTTAAAATGCATTTGTCTTGTGTTCCATGGTGAAAATGGACAAAATGAATATATTCTGATAATCTTTTCATTTACAAACATTGTGTGAATTGTATCTTGCATTGATTTATAATGATTTCAATTCATAATTACTTTTTAACTTTTTGGTCGAAATTATTAACTAAAATATAACATTTAAACAACACTAGAAGACTTCTCTCACAAAAAAAAATTCTTTAGCGGCCAAGCCTTATTTGACATAGATAAGAGGTTTATGGAATAAATTAATTTTGGCTGACCCTAATACCCAACTGCCCCCCCCCCCATGTAGATTTTAAAATTGTATACCCCTGTTCATAGATAATAAAGACTTGATCATTGATGATTGATGCAACTAAATACTACAGGAAGGACAGCGGGTATCATGACGGAAATTCTGGAGGAGCTGGTGGAGATGGAAAAAATTTAGAAATTGGAAAAAAGCCAAAGAAATAAAGTGAAATATTTTATCGAAATGTCAAATAATGTGATTATATAACTGAATTTTTATTTTTTATAAATATTTATAAACCTTAAAAATAAGAGATTCTGTTATGTTACATGTTTACATGATTTTACGAAAGAGAACTAGATTTAAAAATACAGAATAATCAACTTGAGATAATTATCCATTTTCCACAAGCAAATATTAGAATATGATGACAACTAAAAACTTATTTTAACATATAGTTTAGCTTTAATTATGGTCGTCTTCCTACTGTAATTTAATATGACAACCACTGTATAGTGTACATATTAAGCTGGACACTATTGTGTTGGATACCCTTGGTTTGCTTGATCTCGATATCCACCGTGGACACTTTTGATTTGAGGATTGATGCTTAATTTCTCTGCATGGGTACACTTACCTTGCAGGATATCGAATTAAGATTAAATTAATCTGCAGATTAACAAAATATCGAGATCAAGCATTGATCTTGATATCCACAAAACAAGAGTTCCAGCTTAGTACATTTTGAATTTTCAAAATGACATATATATGAATAATAATCACATAAGCAATATACTTATCAAACTATTTACTGGACAAATTATATTTTAGAGAAATGGCAATATGATTTATGGTCAAAATATGACTCAAAATGGGAAATACTTGTGTGGAATATTTGTGACTGAAATATTATGCATCACCAGTGTTTTAAGTTTTACATGATTGTATTGATACATATTTTTTTGTGATTGCTGAGATATAAAATCTTGAAATTTGATTACATTTTTATGGGATCAAATGCCAAAAATGCCAAGAATGCCATTCCAGCGTTTTTTTTCTTTTCCGCGAACTACTTGTTTTTTAACCCGTCTTGGGGTTTGGTTCTGGGGAACGTTTTGTTCTCTCAGTCGATGTCTTTTATCTTGGTTCAGATGTTTCACTTTCCTTTGTTTTCCATAGGGGTTCCAGTCGTACTGGTCGTACTGTTCGTACTCTTCATACAATTCACTTTCGGGGATTTCCTGCCAAGAAGATTGCGGATTTACTTCCCCTATTGATGGATAGCTGGTCCAACCAGCTGATTGTGTTCCAGATCCTCTACTTCCTGCCATCTTGGAACTATCCTTCACCCTTTGTCTTCTAAAATCAAAACATCAAATTCTTGAACTTGCATATCAATTAAAGGATGAGACTTTAAAGATGACTGTAAGAAATTTATTTGTCTTTTTACTTTAAAAAATGGTGGTTTGCAAACTGTAAATTTTTTCTTTATGTTGACAAATCATGAAAACGCTTTTATAGTTATTAAAGAAACATCCTTTGTGGTTAACCTTATAGCAATGTTTTACGTGAAAATATTTTATTGTTCAGTGATTTTCAAAAGATATAATTCTTTTGATCGTTAAAATTTTCAAGAAACTGAAAAAGTTTTTACTCTTGACTCCTAAAGAACAACATTTTTTTACTATCAACATAATTCCATCCCTCGTTAAAAAAATGTTGTTGTTAAAAAAAAATGTTTGGTTTATTTGAAGTAAATTGCTTCGAGTTTTGGATTGAAATATTAATACGAAAATTTGTCTATATGAATGTCATATATTAACCCTTTAGAATTTTATTTAAACCAAGGAGTATGGAATAGAAGGGAGATATAACTGACGCGGCCCGCCCTACCATATTTATACATGCTTTGCAGACGGTACTACATTTGAATAAGAAATATTTGTCTGATGTACAATTACCGCGTATGCAATAACCTATTCTGAATATTTTTCTTATACAAATGGAGTATCCGTCTGCATGTCTGCAAAGCATGCATAATCATACGGTAGGGCGGGTCGCGTCAGTTGTATCTCCCTTCTATTCCATACTCCTTGATTTAAACGCTTACTTCCTCCAGTTGTCTGATGGATCCTTGAGGTTTAAACTATTCCCAGGTTCCTCAAGTTTAAAAACATACGGGGCACGTGTCGCAGGTTCCCTGAAAAAAAAACTGTTGAAAACCCCTTTTTTTAAAAAAATGTTCGGAAAAGATTGAGGATTTGATATTTTTCTCATTTTTCTCAAGTACGAGAAAGGCACAGGGTATACATATTAGAGATTCAAAACATTTGTGTTCTTCTCGATAGCTCTTCAATTCAATAAAATGAGTAAGTGCAATTATTTCAGTTTAACATTTACTTTTTATTTTCGTATGGTCTTACTCCTAGAGATACCGATTTAAAACGAATTAATCATAAAAAAGGTGAAATAACACTTGTCCCAATTAGAACGATATTTAAAAATGTTACCTGGGGTCGTATTCGAATTTTATCGGTCGATCAATAACATCAGTTTCGGGACCTGCGAACATTTTATCCATCGTTGTAAAATCAGGGTTCCCATTGGAGTCCGCATACCTAAAAGTGTCCGCCGTCCAGCTTTTCTGGGTTGGTCGTCTTTGATATTTTCTATTTTTGTTGAGGGGGATAATATTTGGTTGAGTTGGACGGTAAAGAAGTTGATCAAATGTTGCTGTTGGTTGTTGTTGTTGTGGAGGGTAGGTGATGGTGGGAGCTGTTGAACTTGGTTGAGAATTATATCCTCCACTTGTTAAATTCATCACGGCTTGAATATCGTAATTGTATGGCCTGAACATAATGGTCTACAGTCCACAAGGTGTCCCACGAAACATGAGAGATGGTGAATAGTTTTCTTTTTCCCTAACTCGTTATAGGTTCTTTGATACCAAAGAGAATAATAAAAAAACATTATGGTAAAATTGATTTTCAAGTAAAACATATTTGAGTAAAACATTTTTTTAATGAATTAAAGTGCGAAAAGCCTTTCATATCTAATACAGTATTCACCAGCTGTCATGTTTCGTGGGAAACAGAGGAAAAGAATATACAAAGTATACAAGATTCATAAACTATTATTTTTATGAGATTCTCGATATTTTTTCCAAATCACTTTAAGTCACTTTAAAAATAGAAAGTAAGCTCTATTAATTGCAAAAATAAAAAAATAAGTTTTTCTTTTGACAGAATTTAAAAATATTTTAAAAACAATTAATTTAATCTATTTAAAACATTGATGTTTAGATTTTAAACATTTGTGAAGTCAAAACAAATAGTAGGTTTCTCAAAATGAGATACTTAACTAAAAAATATTTAAAAATCTACTTACGGGCCGGGGACTCTATAGATACCCATCATACCATCTATCCTGTCGATATCATCCACCCTAAATAATATCGTCAAAATTAAGTGTGCTTCGCACCACTATTTTTATTTTTCATTTTGTTGGTAACTTTTCTTCATATTTATTTGGTATTTTTTTCTGTGATAATACTTTAAACGTTATCTAATCCTAATTTTCTAACCGACATTCATAAATAAGTAAAATTTAAATGAAGACGACGAGAATTTTACTATTATCTGGTTCCAACTGTTTTAACCACAAGGTTCTTTAATTTAAGGTTGGTAAATAGAATCCACATATGACGTCACTCCATAGG